GGGTTTAGGGTTTAGGGTCTTCCTTATGCCAGTGCCAGCAAGTCGCAAGAACTCTCCTTAGGCCACCATCCCCTCCGACACCCGAAACCCTCAATGCCGCTTCACACCCGACTGCCTAAACCTAAAACCCCAACGCCCTAAGCCCTGAACCCAAGCCCCACCTAACAACCCCTCCTGAAGGTTGGAAACTGGATTGAGGACAANNGATTCCCTATACATTACTCTTGAGGATTGAAGCTACTGGTTTCCAACTTTTGGGCGTGTACTGTAGGGTGTAGAGCTCAACACCCCTCATGAAGCTCCTATAGAACCCTGACCCCTAAACCCTAAACCCTAAACCCTGACCCCTAAACCCTAAACCCTAAACCCTGACCCCTAAACCCTAAACCCTAAACCCTGAACCCTGAACCCTGACCCCTACACCTGAACCATGGCCCTCACTCAACCCTAAAGCGGGCACGAAAGCAAGAACAAAACACACTCTTGGCCCGAAACCCTAAACCCCAAACCCTAACCCTAAACCCCAAACCCTAAACCCTAAACCCCTAAACCCCAAACCCTAAACCCTAAACCATTCTTGAAGGTATTGCTTTTGCCTTACTTGCCAAAGAGTTCAGAGCCTCCTCGCAGGAGCCATGGCGTAGGCCTTCATCTTGCTGCCAGTACTTCTCCAGGAGTGATGTGAGCAACGGGATTCCTGGGCCGTTCGTGGGGGGGGGGCCTTTTCGAAAGATTCTTTTTGAAATTGTTGTCGGACTTTTTTAAGTGTAGTCACAAAAAAAGGTTGCACAGAGTTTTTGAGAGGTTTCGGCGTCAAGGGTTAGAGCTTAGAGGTGTAGGAGCTTACGGTTTAGGCTCCAGGATTTAGGATTTTATAGGGTTTAGAGTTTACTAAACTTGAAAAATGTTGAAGAACGCCAAAGGCTCCACCCAGCTCGCAAGCGAACTTCTGGCGAGCGTCCTGCTGCTGCCACGAATGCTGATAGCCATCGCCATCATCATACATACCGCAACGAAACATGAACCACCATGATATCAAAAGTTGCCCTGCCAAGCCCTGCCCCTGCCCCTGCCCCCGCCCTACCTACCCCATTCTTGCCTCGGCTGCCTTCTTCCATGAGGAGTGGGAGAGAAAACAAAAGGAAACGCCTTCTACAGACAGGCTGTCACA